TAAAAAAGGATCTTTATTTGATGATATCTTTACAAGTTCTGACGCCAAGAGAGGGAAAAAAAATCGCCAAAGTGAATATGTAAGTGTTTTACCACTTAAGCCAGCTGTGAGAAGTACCTCTTATTTTTTGAGTGTATTTGAAAGTTAATGCTGACATATAGGGCTACTAAATATAATGATCTGGGATCAGAAATGTTTAATGGTTAGGCCATATGTTTCGGAGAAATAATTGAATGATTAATTTAATACTTGAAGATGAAATGAAAAGAAGTGTTAAGTGTTATGTAAGGAATCCATTTTTAAATTTAATTTAATTATCCTTACATATGTATATAACATCTTTTTCAAATTTTCAATCCTTAATAAAATACTTTCTTTTCATTCATAAGAGTTAAAATATATTTTTTCAAACTTGTAGTGGATGACATTGTAGTTATTTTTTAAATATTAATTCATTAATTAAATTAAAAAATGAATAAATAGTAACAAAGAAACAATAGCCCAACAACTTATATAGAAAGGAAAATTGCAAGTAAAATCACTCTCTATTTTGTCCCTTAATGGTGTGATTCTGCCATAGGTATACACACATTTATATTAATTGTAACTATTAACAAAATTAACTAAGATAAAAATTTTCTCTGTGGACCTAAGTAGGACTTGAATTAAAATTTAATTATATTATTACTTGTTTGTATTTAGTATCACCTGAACTGGGATATTTATATATAAATCTATTTTAAGAATATTATTGCAATAAAAAATTATTTAAATGCAGTTTTTCGGCAAAAAATGAAGAAAGAATGATACATTTTCAAAAACATTCTCTTTTCATAAAAATACTTCTGTAATATTAATACTTTGCCAATAATTATATGTACATACATAGGTAGAGGACTAGAACATGGATTTTTAAAATATATAATTAGAAGAGGATTTATTCATATATCAATACATCAAAGAAGTTTTTACAAAAAACACCGGTTATTATTTCAATTGATAGTAACTCTCAAAATGATTTAAATATTTAGAAAAACCTAGTACTGTCTCTGTTGCAAAGTCTTAGCTATATGTGAGCAAAGAAAATTATTATCGAAGCATTTTCCATGTATGGTATTAGTTTTGAAAACATGTTATTTTTTCTCCCTATTTTACCGAAAAATTTAATTTAAATATTTTTTATCATTATAATATTTTCAAAATAATTTTATATGCATATTCAAATTCAGGTGACACTAAATATCAAAAAATTATTCGTTTATGCACTTTTTCAAAAAATCGAGGCATTTTTAAAAGATAGAAATTCACATTGCTCTTTTTCGGATTTATTTTCTACTGTCTGAGGTTGAAAGTTTTCATGTGCGACTGAAATACACCTTTTTTAGCAAGAAGTTAATTGATGTGTAATGGTCCTTGAATTCTGTACGCAAATTATAATTCGAATTCAAAAGATTCTTAATTATGAAAAAAAACGTCTTTGATCAAATTTTCAGTAATTGAATTAAAAGTTTTAGTCTCTTTATTAGTAGCACTACCTGTTAATTCAAAATTATTGTGTCCAATTTTAAAAGCATATAACTATTTATGGTGAATTTCTATCGTTTTAATACTGGTTTTATTTTAAAAATTAAACATTTAAATTATATATACTAATATAACCATTTTTATTAGTGGGAGTATATTATAGTACCGAAATTAGACCCTAAAAACCTGAAAGAAATTTTAAAGCTTTTGAAGCATGGTTGTTCAAATTCTATCATAAATAAATCACTTAAAAATAAAAAAGACAATTTTCTAATGTATTACTATCTAAACTTTGAAAAGCATTTAAAATTGGGTTGCAATCAAAAGCTTCTGAAAGAAATCTGAACGAAAAGAAGTATTTCATATGAAAAAGAAAAAAAAGAAGTTGAAAAAAATTATCGCTGTAGCAAATTCTCTTCTCTGGCAAAGAAACTACAAGTGTCGCAATCGTCATTTTGTCGTCACATAAAATAAAAGTGGCTGTAAAAAGGAAAATAAACTAGTCTGTCATCAAATAATGTCTGCTAAGACTGTAGAAAAACATTCTTCGTCTCTGTATTTAATGTTACACAACGGTAGATAAAAAACAAGGATAAGTTTGAACGAAGCACTGCTTCATTTGTCATTCACAACAGACGAAATGAAGATACTACATATTTAACGCTAAAAAACGTTGCAACAACGCAGCTGTTTCGGAAAAGGTAAGTTAGCCGTCAGGTATTAAGGTATGGATGGAAATACACTTTCAAGGCTTAACAAACACCATTTTTTTTGTAGAATAAAAGACTAAAATTGATGCTACATGCTATCAACAAAGTTTGGCCGATATTAAAAAGTTTTGAAGTTCTTACATGGTCAAAGAAAGTAAGCGTCTTTACCTTCGAGGACAGTTTTTCCCCTCTATCTAAGATTCTGCAACTTGTCATACAGTAAAATCAGCTATAAAATGGCTGAAAGATAAAAATAAATACATTTTCTGTCTTATGGGAAGTAGCTACCATCACCCTGATTGCTCTCCTTCGAAATTTTTTTGTGGGGATACTCCAAAAAAAAAAAAACAGATTAAATAGATGTAAATTAAGAACAATTTAAGGGCTTTAAAAAGAAATCTAGGTGGAAGTTAGAATAATTCCCCCAAAAGATTGTTCGAGAAAGCTCTTTTGGCTTGGGTAAACGATTACGTAAAGTGCACTATGTTAATGGAAGCACCATTGAAAATTTCATGTAAATGTCACTCAATAAAAATTAATGATGCTCTGAAAAGGGTCATATTATTGTTGAATCAACTGGCATGTATGATTTGAACGCAGAACTCAACAAAAGTTTTCCCACCACAAGTTCGCGCCGATGACAAATCAAAATTATTTAAGCTACTTTGAGATTTAGAAAACCACACTCATACATTGAGAAAAAAGTCATCTAAGTTTTTACAATTTTTATGCACACGTTTAATATGGTTTTATTGAAAATTTTGCAATCGAGAAACTTTTTCACACACAAACCTATTTTTCAAAAACCTTTTTTTCCAGGATGGCTAGTGTAGTCACTAAAGAAATCGTACAACAATTTTAAAATCTGTATTCAATACAAAATATAAATAAACATTATTTTAAAGCAAATAAATACATGGGAAACGATAAATATTAAAAAGAGTTATTCAACTGAAAACTGTTACTAAATTTAAAAGTTTTATTAATGTTTGGAAAAATAAAGTTATTTTGAAATATTTGATTTTTACCAAACTAAAAACAAGAAATAGAATGGATACAAACAAATATTTCAAATCTTTAAACTAATATATAAAAATACTAAGATTCACATATGTTATTCCGTCCTGAATTCTGTTCACGTTGTAAGTAATGCGGCACAAACTCAAATTTAGAGGCACTTGTTTTGTAATAGAAAAAGTATCAGCAAAACTTGGTTTTACTTTTGGATTCATTTTTAAAATCTTACATTTCATTTACTTTTGTAGGAATAACAAAACAAGTTGTTCAAGGTACGTGAAAAAATTGCACGGAATTTAAGCATATTTTTAAAACTGTTTTCTCGAATTATTTAATCGGTATAATTTAGTAAAGCACCTTTCGTTGCAAAAGTTATAAGAAATGTTGATTCAACAAATAAAAATACAACTAAATCCTTGTTTAATTAAAGCTAATTACTTCAGCTATCGATTTTCTTCAGTTTTGTTAAAATGAATTTTTGCAAATGGTATAAGAATATAATTCCTGCGTATATGAAATTAGTTGGAAAAAAATCCCTAGCTGTGTACAATTTTTTTTTTGCTATTTTATCTTGAAAGCAAAGTGTCATTATATACAATTAAAATAAAATCCTGTTTATTCCTGACTGTTTTTTCCTACACTAAAATCAATTTCTAATTATAACAGTTCTAGTGCTTATAATGTACTCAATAAAATGAAATTTTTGTATGTATCTATATGGCTTTATACATTTTTTAAAACACTTTAACCGTATAGGAATCTTTTGTCTAACTTAACTCCTTTATATTGTTATGATACTAGAATGTTTTTGAAGCATTTTAATTATAATAAAAAACTGACCGTCATACCGGGGATAGCTTGATAATTATATTATAGAATTTTGTTTAGTGAATTTCGCCTTAGTATCTGTGTTCGAAAAAGAAAATGTGTTAATAATTATTCATCTTCAGACTTTTATTTTTTTCAAGCAAAACAAATTTTGTCTCTGAACTAATTAAATATTTGTTTAAGTTACTTTTTTTATTAAAATGAATGAAAATATGCATTTTATTTTAAAGATAGCTAGCAAATATCTACTATTTTCCTTTCTGTATGACGTTTAGAGAATTTTTTACAGGTAGCTGTGAAGTATAGTTTCATATAAAAAGGATTTTAGTTTTAATAAATTTCTCGAAATAAAAAAATAATGTCTTTGTATTAAATTTATATCAAATAATTTCTGATACGTGACTGACACCAAAACTTCAATGCTGTCTGTCGAAGATTAAAAACATTTTGGAAATTTTTATTAATGGTATTGTGATATTGAGTTTTTTTAGGGGTGGGTTCGTCTGTACTTTTATTAATGGAATAAAATCTATAAGGTAAGTTATAAAAATGGTGCAAAAGCATGTTCTTTAATATATATTAGTTTTGCTACAAAGAATTATATCTGATGTAAAAATAAGTAATATAAAAAAAGTTTTCAAGTCAATTCCTACTTCAGACAATAAATAAAAATTTTATTTTAGCAACTTTTTTTGAATAGTTGCAATAAATATAAAAATGTATATACATATGACAGAATCACACTATTAAGTGGCAAAATAGAAATCGATTTGCTTTGCAATTTCCCATTTTTCTTTCTATGTATGGTGGTGAACTTTTTTTTTTGTTTGTTACTATGTGTTCATAAATTAAATTACATTATACTAATAAAATAGTATAGTAAATAAAATAATACAGAAATCACATTCTCAGAAATTAGTCCATCCCAGGTGGCATACAATGCCCACGACTTTTGAATTAGCAGTCAAACGCGCTATCCATTGCGCCACAGGGACACAACGAACGATTTTCCTTTTTATATATGTGACGAATCTGTACGGAACCTTTCCACTAACCTTCTTAGGCGTCTTTTTGGGGAATATAAATTCGCGGTTATATTTCCAATCAACTCCAAAAAGATGTACGGGATATTTAAATTAGATAAGGTATTTTTAAGTCGAGCGTTGCAAGATAGCAAGAGTGATGACGGAAGGCTATTGAGCCAGTAACTTTAAACGCATTAAAGATTCAAGGAGATTAGATTTGTGAAGACGTCAGGCTGCGAGACGTACCAGAAAGCTGATATAAGCCAGCGGTAAACATAATTTACGTACGCTTAAAATAAGCGTCAGTTTAAGCAACTTAGTGAAAGTTAATGAAAGTTAAGAATTCGAATACGTGTATTTCTCGGATCTCCTATTTCGGTAAACCTTACTTGAACTTGATTATTAATTAATTGCATTCTTAGTAATTTAATTTAATATAAAGGCAAATCCCTTTAAGAGACGTAACATTATATTCTTATATGTTATCAGAGATTTTTTTGAGAAAAAATTATAATAATAAATAAATATTATTATTATTCAAAATGGCTCTTAGTGGTTCTTTGCCTCAAATTAATCTTGGTGTTCAATGTGTGACCCAGGGGGGTCATCTCATATATGCTGTTGAACTATTATTGCTGATTGCTACTATTTATTCATTTTTAATTTAATTAATGAATTAATATTTGAAGAAACTGTGTTAACATCGAGTGTCATCCACTACAAGTTTTTTAAAAAAATGTATTTTAACTTGAATGGATGAATAGAAAGTATATATTTTATTAACAATTGAAAATTTGAACAAGATATACATATATATATATATATATATATATATATATATATATATATATATATATATATGTATATATATATATATATATATATATATATATATATATATATATATATATGTATATATATTATATATATATATATATATATATATATATATATATATATATATATATATATATATATATATATATATACACCGGGTGGGCAAAAAGTCCGTAAAAATTTTAAAAATTCATAAAATCCGGAGAAATGAACGAAAAAAAAACTGTTTGCAGGATCAGCATTAGTATGTCACGGGATTTTTTTTAAGCTAGAAAAAAAATAATTCGAAAATCATCCGGTAGGTGGCTCTGATGTACGCAAATCAAAGAAACAATGCATAAATAATGAACAGAAAACTTTCACAACTTTATTACACCAGAATATCTTCCACATGACCACCACCACAGGGGAGAAGACATTCCAGACGAGTGACAAATCCAGCAACATGTCCGGATGTATGGAGGATACTTCTCTGCGGATCGCATATTTCAGTTCCGGCAGACTTGATGGACCGGATAGATACACGCGAGATTTCAAATATCCCTACAACCAGAAGTCTTCCGGTGTTAAATCTGGAGACCGAGGAGGCCATGGGTACCTGCAGCGCTTGCTAACGATTCTGTCTTCCCCGAACGTCTGTATCAGGAATGTCTTAACCGGGTTAGCAGTGTGACTGGTTGCTCCATCCTGCATGAACGTGACATTCGAAATCTGACCTCGTTGAATTAAACATGGCACGACAGTCTCCCGCAGAAGCGTTAGATAACGATGAGCATTTACCGTTTCCGTTATCCATCCATTTACTGGGCACTGCGTTTCAAAGAAGAAGGGTCCTATGATAAATGAACCCGTGAAACCGCACCATGCTGTCACTTTTGGGGAATGCAATGGCTTCTGTGTGTACTCACGTGGATTAGAGGTCGCTCAAATGCGAAAGTTAAGGTTGTTAATGTCACCCTGAAGCGAGAAATGAGCTTCATCTGTCCACAAGATGTTAAAAACCCAGGTGGGATCCTGTTCCATTTTAGAGAAGGCCCACTTTGCAAATGCTTCCCTCTGTGTGGTATCTGCTGGCAAAAGTTAATGGCACGATTGCAATTTGTATGGATACAGCTGGAGGAGTCGACGAAGAATATTGCGGACAGATGATGGTGGTAAGCCCAATCGTCTGGCAGCTTCACGAGCACTTCTGGTCCTTGAAGCTGCTTCGGACGCAATCGCTTCCATTTCGACAACAATGCAGGGTGCACGTGCTTCTTTCAAGCCTGGTCGTCCGGCTTGTGCTCGATCCTCCAACTTTCCAGTTTCCTCAAAACGTTTAACAAGCTTTAAGAGACCTGCAGGTGTTAAAGGGCCTTTTCCACTCTTCACATTTTTCTGAATTCGGAATTTACGCAAGGCAATGGTCGCTGATTCCTCGTTCATGTAAAATAATTTCACCAACAAAGCTTTATCCGGCGCACTGAGCATCCTAGTTCACATTCACTGTTTGTAATGGTGAAATAAATGTGGATTCATTGAGAGCAAAGGTTTTTATAACCATCTAATTTGCATATTTCCACCACAGACGCTTGCAACAGCGCCACCTACCGGGTGATTTTCGAATTTTTTTTCTAGCTTAAAAAAAATCCCGTGACACACTAATGCTGATCCTGCAAACAGTTTTTTTTTTCGTTCATTTCTCCGGATTTTATGAATTTTTAAAATTTTTACGGACGTTTTGCCCACCCGGTATATATATACATATATATATACAGAGGTTGCCAAAGTGGTGATCCGCGAATAAATTTCCCTAGTCCCCTTAAAATTGTGAAATATACTTATTCATCACGTTAAGTTATGTTTTAAGAGAAGTCAAATTATTTTTCCACGAACAAAATAATCCGAAATTGCAAAATTTTTTGTCCAACAATAAATGTCTTGCAAAGCTTGCATACCTTATTTTTCCCTTGTTAAATGAACTGAACATATTCTTCCAAGGACAACTTAAGGACGTGTTCACACTACGAAGAAAGACGGATGCGTTTCAAAAGAAGTATTATTGTGGCAAACATGGTTGGTTGAAGAAGATATGCAAATATTTTCTAATTTTGATGAATACATGAAGGAAAATGATATCAACCAGCAAGTACTAACTCTAGTAAAAAAGCACTTGGAAACACGGAATCTTTTTTTCGTTATTACCCAAAGAATGCAGATCCCAGACATAGTAATATATGCATAATAGATTTATTTGCAGTGAAAATTCAGGATAATAATTTAAGCGTATTTCTAAAACAAAGCATCATCGATCTATCGTCCGACGAAACTCTAAACTTCATTCACCCTTGTCAAGATATCAGTTTTGGCTTTTAATAAAAAGTGAATACCCTTTTCTTAGTGAACAGGCAATGAAAATTCAGATTCAATTATCCATAACTTATTTATGTAAAATAGCCTTTTCATCTGTAACAGCCATCAAAACACAGTACCGATCTCAACTTGAAATAAATACAGTTCTCCGTCTTGCAGTTACAACATTGGATCCAAATATCCATAATCTTATAGCAAGGAAGCAGGAACATCCACCACACTAGGAATGTAAAATGCTGAAAGTTTGATATACTTAAACCATTTATTAATTGTTTTGTTTTTACAGTTCTTGTTTATTTTATTATGGTTTATTAATAGAGCTTTCATAATTTGGTTACAATTAATAGTTCCATTTCATTAACTAGGTACATTTTATGTGCTCTTAGATCACATTTTTTTCATAAATATATTTAACGCTTAAAAATTTTTATTAGTGGCCCGCGGGATATTTTTGATAAAAGAGACTCATTTGATTTTAACATTATACAAATGCCTTTCTGGGGTAGTAACTTACACCTATCATTATTTAGAAATATTATCTTAAATTTTATAAAAAGAAAAAATGATTTAGTCACTGATAAAATTTTAATACATAATAGTTTTGTGAAATTTTGCAATAATTGCTTAGAATACAATTATCCTAGTAAATTTATTTTTAAATATATTTCTATTTCTAATTATTTCTAGTTTTATCTTAGTTTGATATTTTATTTAATATATCTTCGCTCTTTCTCTCTCTCTTTAGTTTTATTTTTAAAAAATAATTTAAAATAATTTATGCGTTTAATTTAATTGCAATATAACTTTCTAGTATATAATCATGTAAGTAAATTTACATTAATATATTTCTATTTGATACTATCTATTCTGAACATTGTTCTTAACTTTATTTAAAACTTCTTACGTTTTGTTTAATTAATTATTTATCTTTGTGGTTAGTTTAATTGCAAAATAACTATCCAGATAGCGCCACGGTTTTTTTCTTCCTGCGCTGGCGTTTCAAACTTTTTCGCCATTTCACGTAGGATCTCATCACAGTAGGTTGTATTTTTCATCTCAGGATTTTTGTTTTACAAGTAAGAGAGTTTTTCCTAATATATTATATTTAAATTTTTTTTTATTATTATTCCTCTCCTTGTTAGATTCATTATTATTCTCTTTTCTCAATTTCTTTTTACGATTTTATTAGGTTCTACATCCACGTGTTGTATTAAGCTTAACTTTTCAACTTGTTTTTCCCCCTATTATGTCGAAAATTTCTGCTGTACGGGGAAGGTTGGATCCACAAAGCATTACTTAACCCTAATTCGCTGGCATAATTCAGCGACAACTTTAGAAATCATAATTGGTCTCCAGTTTAGTCCAATGACTTTTTTGTACCTACATTTGTTGTGTCTGCTGAATTCCAATTTCTTACTTCTTTAGCACTGTAGGTTCTAGTACTTCTTCACTTTTATTTTATTTTTATATATATATATATATATATATATATATATATATATATATATATATATATATATATATATATATAGGGAGAGAGTGAACTAATAGTAAAAATTGAAAATCAAATCATTTGGATCGTTGTTATATATATATATGTTACGTTTTCAAAACAGGCGGCTTATATTTTAACAAAACACATTTTTCTAATAGTACTAAAATAAAAAATACTATTCTTATCAGGTTCTTGAGTGAGAATAACATCTTAACGTGTTATCAGCGCTTCATCTATGCTCTTAATCCAAACTTAAGTATCGTAATTTTGTGACATCAGATTTGAT